TCCGATGATATGAACTTTATAGAAGCCGCGCTAAAGGATATCGAGGTGGCACAGCGATTCTTAAGACAGTTACAAAATATCTGGGTAGGGGCAAACGATCTTACAGGCCTGCTAGAAGAGTATCTTGAGTTTATACTCAACTGTCTCGAAAAAGGTGTTGATTCTGAGAGATGCGCTTTTCATCACGAGGAGCATGAGATAACGGGCTTGGAATGGAGAGAAGATGCAGGGGACATCACTTTAAATTGGTCTCAACCGGACTCCACCCCGATGGCCAGTTCAACGAGAAGACTGGATGTACCCCATGAGACTCAGGCCGAATCGTTGAGAGGCATGGACTCTCGATCCAGCATCACACCAACGATCGCAAGAAGTCCTTCTACAATGACAGATCTATGGCGCTTCATGTTGCCGCAAGATCAGATATGTGGTGGTGACTTCGGGAGATCATGGAATCTTGATTCGATCGATCGTTCATTCGATAGCCTTCTAGGTGGAGGCATGGATACGACTTTCAATTTCGACTTCTGAACCCTCGGCGGCTTGCCTACACTATATGTGCCATTGGTATCCTAATCAACTCTGCATACAGTTCCCCAAAGAAATTGAAGAAATAGCAAGGATCGTATTATAATGGTTGTCTTAAAACTTTTAACTCGTGTTATTCAAGTATGCAAGTACCATTCTAGCCTCTCTGTCCCTGACTTATCCTACATTCCCTCCAGGTTTTGGGGTCGATTTGGGAATTGTAGATCGTACATCAACCACTGCTCATGGCCCATTGGTGCCCTTTTCTACAAATATCTTTGCAACTTCCTTCGCTACCCCTAAAAGATGTCTATCGCGATATCTTGCAGCCACCAATGACAGTCCTACTGGCATGTCGGCCTCACCGGTGAACCCCGGAATGTTTACGACTGGCGTGTGTTAGGCCTGTGTTAATCATTAGTCGAGCTCAACCCCTCAAACAGGCTTATATTGGAGGACTTACGGTCCACATGTTGAAAACTTGACTCCCTGTCGATTCTCGGCCCAAATGAGCAATATCTGGAACGCTCGGCGTGATAATTGCAGTGTACTGCTTTGCAAGCTTGTCAATTACCGGCCGCAAAGAAGCGATTCCATCAAATGCCTCCAGATGAGCAACATGTGATAGATATGTGGGTCCGATTTTCAACTTGATCAATCAATGTTTGATGAAGGCGCTCCTTATCTGCTCGCTACTCAGGCAAAAAGGCCCCTTGCCCTTCGCTGTTTCAACACGGTCCAGTACCATTCTCGCATTCGATTGAACTCTGCGGGCAACGTGACTCCGACAACTTCAGCTCCCTGTTCTTTTAAGAGATTGGAGAGTTGTGCTGCGTCGGCTTACCTGCACGTCTACGATTTGTCCTTCGCTTCTTTGCAAGCCAGGGCCATTTTGCTTACGCTTTGTATATATTATGTCCTTGACGGCCACAGCTACGCCGTGAAGAGGCTCAAGTGTCTCTGTGGTGCAATTTGGTCGAGAATTCGGGCCTGTTCGATCACATAGTCAGGGTCTATGTGTACCCAAGCCTTGACAGTAGGGTCTCGCTCCTCGATGCGTGCCAACATTGAGCGGACATACTGCTCCACCGTCAATGAGCTGTCCCGAAATCGGACCTGGGCCTCTGTCGGAGTGAGCAAGTAAGGCTCCATGATAGCGCTGTGTTTTCGGATACGCGTCCACCAGGTAGCGAGAGCAGGGCAGTGAATTGAATTGGGAACGTATTCCCCATTAATGTGAAATCAAACCCTTCGGAGCATTAGGAGAAGTTTGTTTCAATCGACAACTCGCTCGGGGCTCATGGCCCAGCATCTTTTGAAGCTAGCCGGTTGCGTCGCACGAGGACCCATCAGTGTGCGCTAGGAAGACATGCTAGCGGCCAATTCTAGCGTCTTTTGGAGGGTGTTCGCATTCTGTTAACGTCAGTTGCGCCGCGGGCAAGCCAACGCCGGCGGCTCGCCAGATGACAAACGCAATCCGGAGATTCATGTTTGGTGACTTCTTCTCATCAATTAGTCCAGAAATGATCCTTGTCATCTTTGATTCTGCAATAATATGTGAACAGTAAGCTACAGTTGTTATATGAAGCTCATTTATACTGAGAAGCTACGCATGAAGCATCAAGTCTTTCTCAACACAAGAAGCTTCGCAGTACTGGTTCGTCTCTAACACACTGGGCTTCTTTTCAGGAGATAAATAATTGAAGATCTCTGCTAGATGCAATTACTCTAAACTGAGACTTCCCAGAGGTCATTATTGTTGAACGCCGTCTCATCTGATGGCACATCTGTTATAGCTCCTAGGAGCTCTACGGTATTTGATTAATGTAGGCTATCTATATCTAAGCTGTGACACATTAGGTAAGGTCGCCTGGATCACTGATCAGTAAAACCGAGCCGCTTATTAGCCAATTGCCGCATCTCTCGCTGGCCGCGAGTCAGGCCCTTTTCATGGACATCAAAAGGCTCGAGACCTAAAGCCCGCAGTCCCTCAATAGACAAGATATTCTCCCGTTTCGCGCCGTGGTCATCATGCTCCTTCTCCAACTCGCCATGCTCGTATTTTTCAAAGTCTGACGGCGGCAGCGCGGTCAAGAAACTCTCGCGCATTTTGAGCAGATTGTCCAGGTTATAAGGGCATAACGGGACACAGCCATTGTAGCTTACAGACGAGTCGCGCGTGCCAGGGTGAAACTTGTCAACCTCGTGTATAAGATCGCAGTGCCAGAAGACATAATCTCCCGGCCTTACTGGGGGAATTCCTACCATAGTCTTCTCCATATACAAGTGTGGGTGTAACTCTTTCGTGGGGAAAAATTGCAGAGAACCTGGTCTAGCACCTGGAAAGAGCGGCGTTGTATCATCAAACTGCTCGCCGAGAATGAAGTACGGGCGTAGAAGCTGGTATGCGGTCGAGAGCTTCAATTCGGGAACCAGTCGAAGCGTGCCTTCGCCTGTAGACGTATGCGACAGGCTCATCCACCCTTGAAGGGATCTGAAGGCCGTGCAAGACTCTGCGAAGAATAGGTCAGCCTTCTAGATGGCTCCGCAGATTCGCCGCTCTAAGGGCATCGACTTACTTCCACTAGCATAGAGGTCCGTCTTCGCATCAGAACGGTGGTCTGCATTCCAAGGATCGTATTCTTCCCATCGACCCTCGAAGATCTTATTATAGCAAGCACGATAGGCTGGATCCTCCCATCGTTCGATAGCTCCGCTGTCCTGATGGGCGTTCAGGGTGTATTCTGAGTCTATACGTATATAAGCCGTGCCAGCCACGATGCTAGGGGTTGAGCATCAATCATACTAAGGGAAGGATGCCTGATACGAAATCGGTCTGCGTATATGACTTGACTAGCCATGTCAAACGGCGTGTCATCGCTACTTAGATGCCACAGCTGACTGACGGCCCCCATAGCCTTGAGGACTCGTGGGTGACTTCGAATTTGAACTTGTGGAGGGGTCCAAAAGAGACTAAAATTTTGAGGATCATGTTTTGGAAAACCTGCAACTTTAGGATGGCGCTTGGTGTAATCTCTAAGCTCAGATTCCCATCTGGTCGCTTGCTCTTCTGTCACAACATTCCGAATGATGACACAGCCCGTTTGTCGCACTATGGTGGCCAGTCCGTCTGGTAGAGAACCGTTGTTCTCTTCAACAGTGGCAAAATCAATCTCTGGGATAGCACTTGGTCCTTGTTTGGCGATACGATCGGCCTCTTTCTCCAAAGCTCTTGTCAAGGAATGGTATGAGGTAACTACACGGTCTTTATTCTTGTCCTCAATTATCTGCTGCTTTAGCTTGGAGAAGCGGGAATCCAGGAGTGGACACCTGCAAATTCGTCAGAGTTGGTGGCAGATTACAGGTGTCTTGACTGCTCACGGGTACACCATTTGAGCTTCCAGCTGAGTCTGAGTAGCTGTTTGACTCATTTTGACTGTTATAACTCGACGAACTTGAATCGAACGTAGAATCCCTAATAGAAACAGAAGTAGAGAAGGATTGGTGTTCTTCAGAAACACCTTGACGGAGACGATTGAAGCATCTATACAAACACTTTCAACTCGAAAGGAGCTTCCATCGCTGGCACTAACAGTCGACAAGATATACGCAATGATTGTGTCTCAGCAGTGGTGCCACCAAGGCTTAAATCAAAGAGACGCGAAAACATTAATGTTGGCCGCGGTTCGACGCGGGCAGAATCAGCCTAGACGACGGATCCGCTGGGAGTTGCCTTCCGCCAGTAATATTCATATTTGGCAAGCGCTCTCGTAACGATTGCCTCCTCAATTGGTCATTTGAGGGGCGATCCAGCTGAGAAATGTACAGGAAAGTGATGTGTCTACACATTAAGGCTAGTGCAGTTTCAGTCGAGTGAGGGCTGAGGAGTGAAAGTTGCCCGCGGGTCAAGACGCGGGTCAAGATGCGGGCCAAGATGCGGGCCAAACAAAGCGCTAAAACGGGTCAAGTTGACCCGCAGCACGGGGCAACGAGATCTTACTTTTCACCTGTCGCTCGTAGGACCCAAACTGCGTGAGACAAACGCAGGGACTCCACGTAGATCTAGATGCTCTTCATCTTACTATCGAGGTTTACATAGAATCTGTGACAAACAGATCTAAGTTATGAGCATGCTGATTGGCTGTGAATGGGCGGTTGGATCTCGGATTACAGGCATTGAAGTCGGCGGGGAGCAAGTCAGTCATCTCGATAAGAAGGCCATCGATGGTGCATGATTATCAAGAGCAACATACGAATCGTTGAAAAGGCAGATCTGGGTAAGTATGGGGAGATATATTGCAACTTCGGCAAAGCAGATACTAGTCTTGCAGCGATACGTCTCGCTATTCAGCTATTGATGGCAACATTTCCTGGTTGTATATATATTCTGAGCTTAAACTAGATGCCATAAACAGCGTAAATTCTGGCACCCACGATCTAACCCTTCGAAATAATTTATATCTAGGACAAGATTACAACGGATATCTGAATGATTTGATGTTGAAGTCCGTCTTGTCAAGAAATTCTTCATTCTCAATAACGTCGGCAGCATCTACAAGGAGGTCGGTATTAGTATGCATCATGTGAACGACATAGTATTGAAACAAGCCATACCTTGGGGCTCAGATGCGTCCCGTTTGTCCCTTTGGGTGTTCCAAATTTTGTGGATGACTCCCCAACTTGCCATAAGGAAAAGACCAAAGACCAAGAACGCAAGCATGGTATACTTGGCTGGCTGTCATTGCGAAAATGGGTCAGTTGAAACGCGTAGAACTCTGGTGGAGGCTCCTCCTTACATAGTAGTTTGGTGCATCGGCGCTTCGGTAGGTCTGAGGCCCAATGATATTGCCTACGGCATAGCCAAGCTGGTAGGCGGCACCAAATGCAAATTTCTTTGTGCTTCCAGACACACCTGCAGTCATCAGGGCCATAATGAAGGGGTTAGAATTAGGGACTAAAATATTTGTTCCAATCAGTACTATTCCTTTGATATTGAATAGAGTTGACTCACATTGAAGAGCAAGGACATAGCCTCCATAGCGAGAGGTGTATTGAGAACTCGGAATGGCAAACATCATGATTGTGCCGATGATCGAGACTACAAACATGAAGACGCCGGCAGTTGTCCTGTTTGTGAACTTCGCAACCAAGCCGGATACCAGGACTCCGACTACAGAGACTGCCCCGGGTGCCATACTCAGAAGTGTAGACTGATTCGCCGTAAATCCAAACCCGGATATAATCGATGGTCCTGCATACACTCACATTAGTCCCAAAAGTCCTCTGCCTATGGTGACGGCCTAACCCACCAAAGACAGTGATGCCACCGGTCGGCAAACCGAGGGTTACCAAGATGAGGAAGACCAAATATAATCGAGGATCCACAAGAGCCTCCCGAAGTTGAGCAGAATTGTATCGCCACACTTCGGTACCAGTTTTGTTGGCTCGAACTCTTTCCAGGGCGATAGCCTTCTCCTTCTTGTCAAGCCATCCCGCTTCAGTTGGAGATGCAGGGAGGAAGAGGTACAGTAGTACTCCGAAGAGGATAGTGATACCCCCATAAAGGATGAACAAAGCCCTCCACTTCATACTTGGAGACTGGTAAATCGCCCAGGCAAAGAACCCTCCAAATATGTTTCCAAATCCATAGCACATATACCAGATTGGAAGTCGAGTAACTTGTTCCTGTTTCGTATACCAAGAGGCGAAAATTTGGAGGATAGTAGGCGTTGTGAAAACTTCCCCAAAACCTAAGAGGAATCGTAGAACGGCAAGACTGGCAAATTGGCCACAAGCTGCGTGTAAAGCTACGATTATGCCCCAGACCACAACGACAAATGAAAAGACCTTCACAAGAGAGTAACGTTGCAGAATTATAGCCGCAGGTATATCACCAGCCAAGTATCCAAAACTGACAAGGTAAGTTAGACAACAGCAGATATAGCAAGATAATGAACTGAACCAACTAGATGAGTGAACCGAGCCAGGAGTACTCAGAGCCAGTGAGGTGGCAATCGGTCTTGATGCCCATGATAGCAGCGAATGACAGACTACTTTTGTCTATCAACATCATTGTATAGATGGCGCATAGTAACGGGAGGATAATGAAATCGATTTTTCTCTTCACTTTTGCAGCTTCTGGAGAATTGAGGTTGACCTCAATATGAGCCTGCAACAAATTGAGAGCCTTGTCGTCATGAACTGGCATCGATTTCAATTCTCCCTACCAGAGAGAACAGCATATTAGGTACGGAGCGGTTGCCGAGATGCAAGCAATGACTTACACTCTCGATGTCGGCACTCCGAACCTCACCCTGATCGCCATACCGGGTTTCTTTGATCTCGTCTTTCGGCGTTGCCATATTCGCAAAAGCGTACAGTCTTCAAAATCAGGTATGATATGAGAACTTCAGGCAAACACTTGCAACTCAATCTTCCACGACACGGCTCGTTGACAGCACATATTTACTTTTTTCCAAGCTCCATGTCGCCTTGACTGGCTTCGTTGTTTGAGAGATAAGATGGCAAACCTCCGTGGGCCGTGGCTGCCGGCTGATAAGGTATCCTTGATAGGGGTGGGATCCACCATCAAGTTCGCTGGAGCTAGTGCAAATCCGCTGAAGCACAGGCAGATTACCGGGAACCTAAGTCGGCATCTAGCCGGTAAGTCCGTGGCTCTTCTATCATCTACCAACGCCGTGGTCTCGGCAGCTTCCATGATTTCGGTGCTTATCCGGATGCTAACATGTTTACCACATTCCAAGAGGTAGTCTAACTCAATTATATGAAGATTGAGAAAGTATGTGAACCTTTTTCTTGGTAGTGCTGTAATCAGACGGTCTAAGCAATCCACCTCAACACTTCCCAAGATGGCCACCAGACTTGCCCCAGCTATCTCGCTTCGAGGTACCATTTCCCAGCATCCTTTTACTTGATTTTAATCTTCGAAACAGTAACACCACGACTAACCTAGCGGGTTCAGATTTTGAAAACCGCAAAGAGGAAATCACTCGTCAGCTTGTCGATGCCGCAGAGAACACTGGTTTCTTCACACTCGTTGATCATGCGCTTTCAGTTGAGGAGATTGAGGCCCAGTTTGCCATATCCAAGAGTTTCTTTGCACTCCCATCCGAGGTGAAGCGCAAGACGAAACACGACCCCAAGACTGCTCTTGGTTATGAGAACAAGGCAAGTCGTTCATTCGCTCTTCAGTTAGTTCTTGACTGTACCTAACAATCGGCTAAGGGTCAATTCCGGCCTGGCACAGGTTTCGACCAGAAGGAATCCCTTTTCGTTCGACCGAGATCACAGTGGCCGAGCGAGGATGACGTGCCTGGATTTGCAGCAGCAACAACAAATTTTCTAGCCAAGTGTGCTCTGATCTCAGATCAAGTTCGTAAGTATCTGCTCGTAATATTTCAACCTTAATATTATATAGCAGGAAGCTCACAAATGCATACAGTGTCTTGTTTCGGAACTGCACTTGGATTTCCAGAAGGCTACTTCAAAGAAGCTATGGATGTTTCCAAAACAGACTGTGTCACACAGCTTCGCCTTCTGCATTACCCTGCTGTGGAGAACTCCGAAGGAGGCTGGCGGCATGGAAGTCATACCGACATAGGCTGTCTTTCTCTTGTCTTTCAAAGAGATGGAGAAGACGGTTTGGAGGTGCTCCCTGGCCGTGAAACACATACGAGCAAGATCGGGGGTGGAGAGTTCTTCCCTATTCCTGCCAAGACTGGACCTATTGTTGTCAACATCGGTGACATGCTGAGTATGTTACCCCTGCTGAATCTGGACAGGCTCAAATGACTAAAGTTCTTCAGTGGCCTGGTCGGACGATCGCTTCAAAGCCAACTATCATCGGGTGAGGGCTAAGACTGTAGGGTTCTCCCCAGATCGCTACTCCATGGGCTATTTCAACATGGGCCGCGAGAACTTCGTTTTCCAGGGCCCTCAAAAGAAATAGTAAGTTTGGTCACATCGGTAATTCGCTTTGACTAACCATCATCAGCCCGTCTATTACATGTGGCGACTATTTCCATAATCACATCAAAAAACAGTTTGCGTAAGTGCGCTCTCTAAAGTTTTAGAAGCATATACTAACAAACTTCAACAGTCAGTACAACAGTCAAGGAACCAAGGTGCAGGAGGTTGAAGAGGCAAAGCTGGTGTCTGTCGCGGCCTGAGCATGTTGGAGTCGGAAGCTGATATTATTGTTCCGGGACGGAATTGTAAATAAAACAGACATCTATAGAAAACTTGACACCAATTTGAATATTTTTAATACGATCTGCTGCGCTTTTGACTTGTGGAATAACGCGAGCGTCTACTCTAACGCTCTGGCCAAAGATTTAAAAGCTACAATCTTGGGATTATCGACACTATAATCATAGATCGCATCACATCATCGTTACAAAGAAGTTTCACATTTCAAAAATTTCCGAGAATTTCGGGATATGCAATCTTGTCATTGTTATTGTGATGTGACTGGTTTCGAACATCGATCTTGTGTGCATGCTACGCGTCATGCTCTCGTAATACTTCACAACTTCTCCATATTATGATAAGCAGGTGTGTTGTTGTTCAGTGCACCGTAGTAAGTTTGCTGAGGTATGGCCTGCCATGGGCCGAACCCGAGAACGATAAAGCCCCACCAATAGGGGCCTCATATCAACAACCGCTCGGCACGTAGCCGCGATCCACGGAAGCCGTCCCGAAGCTAAACAATACTGTCGCTACGCTCTTCAGATGGTGTTCCTTAGGTATTACGTGCCAGAAATACCATGCTTTTCCGAACAGAATCCCCCAACCATCGAATTTTCCAAGGCGATTTGGTGGAACCTACACATCGCGGACGCAGACCGGAGTGACAAAATGATTGGCCGAGTTGTTCCTGCCGACAAGGAAGTCGATATCATTATCATCGGTGCAGGCGTCGTGGGCCTTACTTTGGCACATGCCTTGGAGCAGGTTTGTTTCACCCTCATTGCCTCGGCTTTCGCAATTACGTGACGGGCTGACAAGGGCAAGCATGGCATCTCATACCAAATCCTGGAGAGAGACCAGTCGATTGATTCTCGAGGAAACGGATGGGGGATAACCATTCACTGGGCGCAAAGAGCACTCAAGAAGTGCATCCCGGAAAGCATGTTTAACAATCTAGAGTCGATAACGGTTGATCCGGATATGAAAAAAAAGGACCCGGGGAGTTACAAATTCTTCAATCTGGAGACACTGGATCGTGCTTTTGCAGCCCCTGTCGATCCGGACCGGATGCGGATTCGACGCGAAGGATTCCGTAAACTACTTCTTTCTGACTTGAACGTGCAGTGGAACGCGAAGATAACTGAAATCATTCCAGACGAGAAGGGGGTATGTGTGACACTCCCTGACAGCTCTACTATCAGGGGTAAATTGTTAGTAGGAGCGGATGGTTCCAACTCTGTCACAAGGAAGCTTTTGTGTCCAGCAACTGCAGAAAATATACCGCTGCCGCTGAGATTCATCGGGGTTGTGATCAAGCTCAGTCCTCATTCAACAGCCTTGATTACCGACACCATCGATCCACTAACTTTCCAAGGCTGTCATCCCGCAACGGGGGTCTACATGTTTTGGTGCTTAGTGTCCACACCAGAAACGAACGGAAGTGGCGGCTCTCTCGAACCATATTTTCAGGTGCAAGTATGTGTTTCGTGGAAGCCAAAAGATGGAGAACGAGACGTACCAGAATCTGCTGCCGGCAAAGTGCGTCGCATGAGAGAGCTTTGCTGCAACATGGCTGCACCAATCCGAGATATGGTTGCAGCCATCCCGGAGGATAGCGAGGCGATTGCAGTGAGATTGCAGGACTGGCCATGCCTTACCTGGGATAACTATGACGGTCGAATCACATTGGCAGGTGATTCCGCTCATGCAATGACGATGTGTAAGTGGGCTGTCCCTGAGCCTGAAGACTCACAGATATTTTGCTCACATTTATCATGCTTAGACCGGGGAGAGGCAGCCAATTTTGGAATTACGGATGCGGCAGATATTGCGGATGCAATCGTTGCTTTTATGCACAAGGGAGTACAGCAATCAGAAGCGATAGCCAAGTATGAACAGATTCTCCGGGCGCGGAGCCAGGCTGGAGTTTTGGCTAGTAGGCAGGCTTGCATGGATGCTCATGATTTTGCGAACTTGACCAGCATGAGCCCCTTACTGCACAATCGATAGAATATCATCATGGCGTGCAAATAAACGTATTTAATATCAATTTTTATAGATGTATATAACGTTCAAATGACGCTGCATGTAAATTGGCTCCCCACGATTACCCATTGTCAACTACAGTCCGAACGATGTTGAACACCTAAAAGAATGATCCTTCAAGCCATTGTACATCAGCTAATTCAATCTGATAACTGTTACTATCTATGCCCTGTTTTTGGTCGGTTGAAAGTCCCTACACCTGCTGGCCTAGTACTTTGAGTGCTTCTGTTTAGACCGACGAGCGGAGTCATTGTAGCCTTGATGATGTCCATGGTTGCAGACACTGCAACCCACCTCAGCAGGATTTGTGTCCATTGCAAGAATATCTTTTCTAAAACCACAATAAAGCCATGACAGTGGCACCTTCGTTGGCCAGTCTACCTTCATCCTTGTCTGCCGGTATGGCTTGTTAATTGATAACTGGTGTCTTGATACACAGGTCTCCCCAGCCATCATAGGGGCACTGTATTCAGTGCATCTGACCTCTTAGCTAATTGCGGTCATTATCAACTAAGACTAATCTTGTCTCCAAGAGTTAAGGATCGTCCTTGAGAACTTTCAGACGCAACATATCAGGTATCCTTCAACACTTGCCTAATAAGATTCCGGACAGAAAATGTTACAAATACACATACACTACACACATGTCCTTTATCTTGTGGGCAGGCTGAGCAGCAACATTGAAGATAGCCTGAGGCCCTGGTGATCATGTAAATCAAATAGCAGCCCACCTAGTCGCTGCCGAGGTTGGCCCTTCTTCACCTTGGTCATATGTGACGGTGACCACGTCGGTCTTCATGATCCTGTCGTTGGGTTGGTAGGTCCCACTATGGCGGCCGGAGGATGTTGTTGTAGACTGCTTGTCTGGGTTGACAATGTTCTCCTCGCTATCCTCTTTTGCGTGTATCGTAAATCCGTAGACATCGACTTTTTTCTTGGGCTTGCTATGTAATTCGATCGGGTCTGCTTGCCGAGCACTTTGCTTGCTAAAGTTTGCATACTGGCGATTACTGCTACCAGTCTTGCTCGATCGCCAGATGCTGCGGCCCTTGATCTTCTCAACCACTGGCTGGAGGAGCGGGATGCAGGCTGCGATAATGATGAGATTGCCTTCGATACTGCATCAAGATGAAATTAGTTAGCTGAGACGTGAAAGCATTAATTGAAAGGCATAACACTCACGAAGTCCAATACAAAGGGTCGCATAGGTCAACTTTGTGATCCATTAGATTGAGTTATTTGTCTTGCCCGATCTGAAGACTTACAGCTGACGTCTTGGCTACCAAGGGTCGGCACGCCTGTAGCTTTCACAATGCCGACACATCCCGATCTACTCTTGTTAATCAGACAATTTCCAGAAAGCTATGGGGTGTCAAAACTTACACAACGCCCATACCGAGAGCACAGCTGAGAGCCAGCTTCTTTTCCTTTGGCATCTGCAGCTTCCAAAGTACGATGGCCGGATATAGTGCTAAGTAAAAGTCGAGAAACGCAGAGCACGCTGATAACACCACACGGGTCAGTCTTCAAAAATGCTGTGTCGAAATAAGCTAACTCACTGCTTGCCCAAAATGCTAGTCCCTCAAGCACGCTTGTGTGCACGCACTTGTGTGGCAATGAGAAGGTCCAGAGGGCTCTAGGAGGTGTACATTGGAGAAGCAGAGTCATAACCATCGCAGTCAGTGACATGCAGCATATTCCACCCATAGTCCATAGAATCCACGTGTGTAGCCGGCCAGGAGCGAGCAATCGGACTAAGAGAGCAATCACGGCGAGCTTCGGGAATCCGAGTGTTTCTATTCCTGGAACATATGCCGCCATCATCCACTTGACTGTATTCTGCTGTTGTTCCAAGCCAAGGTTGGCAAAGTGTTGGCCGTTTCCCCAATAGACCGATATCGTAACCAAGATATTTGAAAGAACAGCACATGTCTATAAAGAGAAAAAGCATTAGCCAGGGAGCGCGGGAAGAAGCTTGTAAAAGGTAGACAAATGCTGAAATGCTGAACTAGGCCTAGGAGTCGTACTCACCGACGAGAAAATGATCAAATAATCATCCCCAGATAGCGTATGATGTACGGCGATTTTGACATAGAGTCGAGCTGTGACAAAAAGAAGAGCCAGCGCTGTGAAGATCCAGCAGACCGCAATTATCATAGGCCCTTTGTCGTCTGTCATCATAACGGCGACCAACTTCAAGAGAAGTCCAAAACTCGGTGGAAAAAAAACTCCTCGAGAATTGTTCGAGATTGGTGTCTGTTCAGCAGATGATATGGGGAGTGAATAAAGAATGACTGGCACATATCACTTGACTGCTGCTGGAAGTGCTCCCTGTCCCTGCATTGTTCCTACTATCTTAGGGGATATGGTAAGGTAGGTTTCAAAAGGGGAAGATCTCTGCGCGATCTATGGGGAATCAGGCAATTAACCTATGATATCGACCAACACACCTTCCAAGCCTCAGTAAAATGTGACTTCTGACAACCCCTGGCCCCCGAGCAACTTTCCCATACAGGTGCCGCCATACACTGGTATGCAAGCACACACTTGATCACTTCTGAGAGTGCTGAAAACGAGAACCACAAACAAATATTGACAGCAGCCCCCCTTCTGCTTCCTGAGGCGGCAAACTCCTGCATACATCTTGTAAAGACTAGATTGCCTCGTACATAGTTTATCAGTCACCTTTCTGACGATTCAGTCTTGGCACTAAAAAATCTCTGTAATAACTGGCGACCTTTGCAATGAAACTGCTGCTTGCAAGTGGGCGCTGATTTTGCCCACAATTTGGTATGCAAAGCCCGGATATTACTGAGAAGAACAGCGCCAGGGGATCCCCTGATAACTTGATCCCCTGGCCACAGACCGCTCGGGTAGCTTCCCCGGCGCCAACACCCGGAAGGACCCTTATTGAAGCCGTTGCGACTAGGGACGTACCGCTTTTAAGTCAGGCCATGTGTGGGGGCAACACGGTAACATCGCGCACAATGTTTTCTTTAGTAAATGCCTGTACGTGCATTTATTCGTCCACACTTTGCAGGCAATCGTCGATGAAGAAGTGATCTGCGGTTTGCATGGACCCACGACTGTGTAGTACTCGAGGATAAGTTTTAAGCGCGAAACCAGTCGTCGTAGGCTAGCCGTGCTATACGCGGCATATGCGTACAAACCAGAAGAATGGGAGTTCATCTTTTGCTCTTTCAGAATGAAATAGGAACAACGTGTCCTTTTATTTGCATGATTGCAGATTGATTGGCTTATTGACAGGTATTTTTCCGCCGTTACGGAAGGAGGGTAGAATTACTGTGCTGTGTACTGTTGATAGACTGTACTTGGGGGATGTCTAAAATTGCCGGTAGGTAAGTACATCGGGTATGGTCATGCCCATACCTTGTTGCTGTGACGCACGCATGCTTGCAAAGTCACGAGCTTTAATACTCACTGACCAGATGTTGTTATAGTATGAAGCAGAATCGCAACGGTGGTCGAGAGTGCCATACACATAATCATTAACACTGCTGCGATACTGGCATAGAATCTAGAACAGGGGACCTGAGAGAAGAATAGGTGCAGCCTTGAACCATTCCCAATGCATAATCATGTGCATATCACCCTCCCCATTGCCCCTCTTTTCACCCGGAATTCTTTCTTCAAATGGTTCTCTTTCCCCTGAACGTGAGGCGATCAACTACGCTAGACTCGGAAGCAGTCTCTTAGTCTTGGCCTTGCATTTGGGAATAACAAACGAGCAAGGTTTGACCGCTTCTCAGTAAAATATAACACACGCTATGGCCTCTCTCTGTCTCCCGAGGGTCGCCCAGATTACATACCACCCACGCAGACTGTGAGAGAATCGTGACCGAGACTGTCGATATGTCCCAAGCTATTGATCTTTCCGTGGCCACCCAGGCGAGTAATCCCGATGCCGTACCACGTTTGATCGAGGATGTCAATACTTTACACCATGGCATGAAGGATGGTGGCGAGGACATCCGACATAAGCTCGTGGTTAAGACACGGAGCCTTCTGCAATCTCTGCTCACTCCCCGCGAGCAGATGGTTCAACACACCTGGGCTGATGTACGTAGATAAACATCAAGCTCTTGTCAGCCTGAACCTCACGTGCTAAATTTGACATCCTTTTCAGCCCGGGCTCAACGCAGCTTTAATAACCGGTGTTGATGTTGGACTTTGGAAGCTCATGGTTAAGAATGGCGTCGACACCCCTCAAAAGGTTGACAATCTTGCCGGGCCCCTCGGCATGGACGCACTTCTTCTTGGTCGGTGACTCGATACAATGAATTTTCCGACCCATACACAAGCCAAAGCTTACAAACCCATTTGACAGGTCGTCTGATGCGCCACGTTTGCGCCATGGGCCATCTTGAAGAGGTAGGGCAGGACGAATATAAGCTTACAAACTTCACCAAATCCTTAAGCCTCGATGTAATCGGAGACGGCTACGTTGCTTTGTGAGTGGACTGACACCGTGAAAGATTGGTCTATTAATAATGATCTCTAGGCTTGGCGGAATCGGTCGTAGCCCAATCGAGTTTTACAAGTTCCTTCGCGATACCAAATGGCAAAATCCCACCGATGCCGCCCACACAGCGATGCACGCGTCTTACAACACTGACCTACCAAATTGCTTCGAATATCTCCGTTCTATTGGCTTGGGCCCCCACACAAATCACCATAGTCAGTACAACGTCCGTAGACATGAGGGAAGATTAGCCGCTGACGAGATTCTTATAGTGGGTGGCTACAGACAGGGTCGCTTGCCGTGGATGCATCCTTCAATTTACCCCGTCGAAAAAACGTTGTTTCCCGGCGCAGATACCTCGCCTGATGCGCCACTTGTGGTTGATGTTGCTGGAGGTCTCGGGCACGACATTGACGAATTCAAGAAATATTACCCAAACCACCCAGGAGTCAGTATCTGAACTTAGCAACAAGGCAATCTTCAAAGACTTACTCTTCTTGCCACACAGAAACTAATCCTACAAGACCTACCAGTCGTCATCAGAGATGTCAAAGGTATCAGCTCCGACATCAAACTCATGGACCATGACTTCTTGACGGAACAGCCTATCAAAGGGGCAAGAGCTTACTTCATGCATTCCATTCTCCATGACTGGCCAGATGACGTGTGCCAGAAGATTCTGTCTCGCCTTGCGGATGCAATGAAGCCCGGATACAGCAAGCTGCTAATCTTTGAATGTGTCATCCCTCGAACCGGTGCTTACTGGGAAGCCACGGCGGGAGACATCCTCATGATGACGCAGCTCTCGGCTCTGGAGCGTACAGAGGACAACTGGCACCAATTAATCGAGGGAAGTGGACTAAACCTCAAGATCGTCAAATTCTGGAAGTGTGGACAGTCTGATGTTGAGAACTTGATTGAGTGCGAACTAGTTTAGAAGGGTCAACAGAGCCAATGATCTGCTCGTGATGGTTTTGTGCGTGACCAAACGACTTCGAACCAAGTATAATGTTTTTATTACAAGGTGCCAGATAGACAGCAACTCCGGAATAGAAATCAATCTTGTGTAGACGTTCGATGAGACCGATGCGTAAACAAAGGAAATTGACTATGCCTTTTAACTTGGCATTTACATGGCTGACCAGGTCCAGGAGCTGGATGTTATTGCCACGCTGCGATGCCTGTCGGCTGGTTGAACCCAAAATTATTACCCCATCACATCAATGAAGACGTTCTGATTCGATCACTTTGAATTGTCTCGTAGTGCAGCATGATGGTCGAGATGAAGGGAACTTCAAGTAAGAGGCCATTTCAGATGCTGCAAGGAGTTAATTCATCACGGCAAATTGCCGAAGGATGAATCGAGAATCTTTATAATATCGTCATAATTCAACTTGAGAGCCCATTCCAAGGCCGTTTGACCTACTTGCCCATCCGTTATGGTACGGTCAGCCCCTCTTTCGATCAACCGTACCACAACGCTCAGGTGGTTATTCGCAGTAGCCCATATCAATGGGGTCTTCCCGACCTCATCTCTGGCGTCAAGATTTGCGCCGCTGTCCAGGAGCAGCTGGATTGTTTCGTGAGCTCCCCATATGGCAGCTGTAATCAGTGGCGTTCGTCCATCGTCATCTCTCAGCTCGATGTCGGCACCGTACTGTAGCAGCAATTGAACGATGGCTACATTATTCTTCTTGGCAGCGATCAGCAATGGTGTTTCACCGTGCTGTTCCTGACGGGCGTTGATATTGGCACGACAGTCAAGTAAGAGCTTCGCAGGGGCTGCAAAGCCGTTTTCAGCCGCCGCATGAAGAAGGGTTCGTCCATCACGTTTTGCATCTACATCGCCACGCTCGTTTAGAAGCTCCATGAGTAGCTGTTCCAAGACATCATCGCTCTGTGTTTCCAAAGCCAGCCAGAGTGGCGATGGATACTGGTCGGGGTGCTTGTCTCCATACCATTCTTGGAACTTCTCCCTAGTTACCGTTGGTGGGTTATACGAGAGCTCTATGCCATATGCTCTAATCTCTTCTGCTACCCTATCCATGCGATCCCAGGGATAGATCAAGCGATCGTCAGGGTTTCTGCTTCTAGCCCACTGTTCGGGCGTAAATGTGATTGTAATCTTGCGTAATTTAGTTTTCGATTGGATATATATCTGTACAAATGCAAGCAACCAGTCTTCGTGCTCTTGGCCGAAAGAGTCCAAAGTCTCGCCGCGTGTGTCCTCTAGTGTCATGTCCCAGTGAAAGCTGCATAGGTTTGGGGTATAGAGATTGTCGATATGACTGATGTCAGTGCCGGTACATCCATGTGACAGATACAGGTGTTCGAGACTGGTGAAACTGGAGAGGTCGAATTTGTCCAGACCACCTATATTCAAGCGGCTAATCTCTACACTGCGCAGCGTGCTTCTGTGTATGTCCAAGATTCGTCGCATCGTGTCTAAGCTCCAGTCTTTATTTAAGCTATATTGGCCGTAATTGGTCTGGTAGCAGAAATGAAAACTGAACTTTTCTAACTTGGCAGGCCATGCTACAAGACTTGCAAGCACTTGGGGGGTTTGGAGGAATCCGAACAATCTGAGTTCGGTAATGGATCCCTTGCCTGCTAGTCGCTAAGTTCTTGGTGAGCAAAGATCATAAACGGAAAGCAGACTTGAGCATGTGAGGACTCACATCCAATTTCCTCCATGCGTCCGAATCACTAAATTCCGATATACCGTGAAGTTGAAGAAGGCGAAGGTTGGGTCCTATTTTCTCGAGGTCCTCAATCAACATAGGCAGGGACAGATTGCAAGAAGGATGTCGATCTCGAAATCGAAGCTCTGTCAATTGATCCATGAACTTGAGTCCACAGCTGACAATGGACCATGCCTCCCGAAATGTCAATGAGTCTCCGTAAGTCGCGACGTCCAATGATGTTGTTGCAGTCAGCCATGTGGCGAGGTCCATTGCGATGTACAGGTTTTTAGACGGCGCTCTATAGCGCCTTTTGGTGCCATGATCTATTACCAGGCTTTTGCACAATGGCCAGAGTGCAGGATTTTGCGCCAGGGTCCGATGGAGATCCTCCGCGAGATAGGGATAGATCCATCCATCGTCATCGTCCTCCGTTGAGTAGTTCAGATAGAGAGATGAGTATAGGTAGGGCGTGACGAGCTGGTTGAAACGCCAACAAACGAGAGCAAGGGTCTGGGCGTTTTCATAGCCCAATTTGGGTGGTAATATATCGCGACAGGTCTCTGACAACAAGCGAAGGATCTTGTCGAGGAGCTCGTCAGGGAGTCTTAGAATGTAGGGTTCAACAGCTGGCATTGTCAAGAATAAGGTCCGTAACAGTCCACCTCAGGTATCGACCATACAGCCTCAACATGAACCTGAGATACTGCACAGGCTTGCGTGGTTCGTTGCGATACTGAATCTTGCTGAGAGACTGGTTCTTTTGCGGTAATTGCTCCCTTTTTTTTAAGTGGCATCCACCCGATTCTGATTTCTTTAGTCCGTCGATCCACAGTGGTTGGACTAAGCCAAGTAACCCCTCAGGCACCAGCGCACCTGTCAGGAGCTATAACCCCCAAGAACAATGAAAAAACTGTTCATGTAAGCCATACAGTATGTTATATTTCATGTGAGATTCTGACTTGGACGTGGATGATGTAGCCGCATGGCGTCATTAAAGAATTCCCACGCGCGGTCTTCACTTAGGGATCCCAGGTGTTCCCGAATGCTGCGATAAATTCACGTATTTCATCTATTTCTTCAATTGGGAGCGGCCCAATGCCTACCAAATTAAAGGTGTCAACATATACAATATTGGCGAGTATGGAATCAACCATTTCCCCGGTATCAATGGTGCCAGCTCTTTATCAATATGGCAGGTGCTCGGATGCGTTCCAAATCGCCGGACAGCAGTCCCCAGCCTTGTGCTAGAGGTGGCGCCCAACTTAATGCCCCCTCAGAGGTGATCGCTACTTCGGCGAGCTTGCCCTCGGCCAGGCGCGCTTCCAAGGAAGTCCTGGAGAACGGTAACAAATTTCTGGGTGCGATCTGAAGCACTCAGCATGACAGGTCGACAATCTTCACATCGCTTGTAGGGCATGATGAACAGCTTTATGTCGTTACTCCCAGACAGTTTGGTTGCTCGAAAAGCTAAGAGACGGTGGTGACTGGTTCGGGGGTTTGCGCCGCATCGCTTACAGATTGGCGGTCGCGCTTTAAGCTCACAAAGCTACTCTGATAATGCTACTAACACTATACATCTAATAATTATCACGAAATCAATATTGTTGAAGCAACAAAACCTATTAATAATTCTAACAAGCTTTTTCACAAATAATTCAATAAAATATGATGCATTGATTCATTTTTCGAAAATTCTAGCTTGTACATAGACAATTATGGTGAACTATTATAAAAGTCCCGTGTCTTAGCAGCATTATCATTGTTAAGGTAAGCGGGTACATTTCAAGTGTGGCATAACAGAGTCGAGTGAGTTAGGTACAAAAATCTGCTATAAATCAACAATTAAATGATTATATGTCTTGGCAACATTTTTAGTCTCGTCAGCATACAAAAGAAGATCGCCTCTACAGGTAGAAAACCTCGTCAGCTTTCCACGTCCACTTCTCTCCTCCTGCCATCCATCGTGGCAGATGTACATGATCACCAGCCATGCTACAGATCCTTGCTATCTAATTTCATTTTTTATCATTTGATCGGAGAACACAGCACCAGACAGTGACCACAGAGTCATAGCCAGTCGTGGAATGACCCAGACGACTCGAGAACCTACTGTATAACACCTACCTATCTATCCCTTGTGGTGGCCCATCTTCAACGACAGCTCTGACGGAGAGGCATCATATCCCGGAAGTTGCTCTTGGAGACTGAAGTCGAGGCAACAATACACAGCAGGCTTAATCGCTTAATCAAAGAGTAGAGCCTCGAATAAGATCAAAGGCCCACAATGTCGACTCAATAGGCACGCCTTCAGGGACAACTTCCATAGTGTTGGCGTCAATCGAATCCAAAGCTCAAAGTCGATACATGAGAAGATTTGTGTCGTGCAGCAAATTTGCCTTGTGCCTCGTCACATACTATCGCTCAAGTGACTAACTGGTGCAAGTCACGCTCATAGTGGTCAAGCTTGATTTGACTTTCAGCCGCTCTTGTTTCTATACATGTCAAACTGGTCATCGATTGAGTCATCTTGAAGTGCAGCTTGCGAGCTTTGCCTCTGCTTCGTCAGCAAGCCCAAGGAGAACGCTTCACGAGTGGATACTCAGATAGACGAACTGTGAACAGTCATATTCCGCCTCCTTCCTTTGTTTCACCATCCACAATCATACAGATTGTCCCAGACCCTCTTGTTTTCCTGTCCAGAGGGGAAATGATAAGCAGAATACTACTCGATCCACTGCTAAAAGGAGAAAGAAAGAACGTTATAAAATCAGAGGACAGGAAGTCAAAAACGGATCCTTCCGTCTACGATCATAGCTTCCTTCTTTGCGGGCGCTCTCAAATCACCACGGCAACACTCAAACCCAATTTCCAGCAGCTGTCAGATCCAGTTCTTTGGGCTGCCTCATTTCATCATACCAGGAGCTGTGATTAATCAGATTTGAACTCACCACAGGCAAGTTCTTCGCGATCTCTAGTAAGTGATACCTGCCTGAGTCCAGACTTGTGAGCTTCTATATGCTAACATTTATCAGCCGCAAACATGGCGAACAATGCCATCGGTCAGCCCGCCGACAGCGGATACCTGATGGATGACGCCAAAATCGTCATCAAGATCCCCGAGGTCCCTCGAGACTACAAGGCCCGTGTTGACTGGATGAACAACAGACAGAGAGGAGCCCTGAGCCGATTTGCTATCGCAAGCAAGAAGGCAGGCGGGCTACCCGTGAGGGATGAGAAAGCGCGCATCTTTCTAGAGAAATCTGAGCAGTACTTGGATTTCCTCGAATATGATCCATCCTTCCAGATGACTCCCCAGCTGAAGAGAGACGCGTCCATCGAGGCAACATTCGATCTTATCCTCCATAAGCCGGGCTACTACTTTCCGGATCAATTCAAGAAACGGGCACAGAGAATCTATGACTCTTGGGTCGCCATCAACTGGGGTGCCGGCGCCGAGGAAGATGCTGAGGAGTCAGAAGAGGAAGGCTCTTCTACTGGCACGTCCACTAGGGCTGTCGTTGCCGAAGACGCTCAGGCGACCATCCAATACCCTCCAAGAAATCATCCCATTTGGGGTATCGATGGAATCATGCACGGTCTTGCTCGAGTTGTTCGACAGAATGGACGCACCTCCATGGTTCTCGACCGGCGATACCCAAAGAAGCCTTCCAATGTCTATGGCCACAACGATTTGGAACCTGGCCGATGGTTTCCGTTCCAGCTGGCGGCACTCTTCAACGGTGCGCACGGATCTAGGCAGGCTGGTATTCATGGAGATCATCAACACGGCGCATACTCCATTGTCATTTCCAGCAAGTATCATCATCTCGATAGGGACGAGGGCACCACAATTTTCTACTCTGGTGCGGGCAGTGATGAGAATACAGACCCAGACCGTGTCAACCCAGGAAAGCAGGACGCTACCCTGGTTGCTTCCATTAGATCTCGACAGCCCGTCCGAGTCCTGCGAGCTTCCAATAAGACCAATCACAACGCCCCATCCGTCGGCATCCGTTATGATGGTCTGTATCAAGTTGTTCGTCAAGAGCAGCCTAGAAAGAATACCAAAGGAGGGCTTTATAGACGATTCGTTCTAGAGCGTCTGCCAGACCAACCAGACCTTCAGGATATCATCAACGCTGCCCCTGATCCCCAGCAGCGACGCCAGTTTGAGAAGATTGGGGAGGGCTTCTGATGAATTAGAGAAGGCATCTTGGACGTTTGCATGATCGACTGAAGGTTGCTTGGCAAATTGCGGGACCTTTGCTTCAGAAGAATGAATGAAAGACATGAGATTTTCGATCAGATCAAGGAAGATGGTTCAAATTCAAACTGCATAGTCTACGGACTTGCTCACAATGGTTTTAGCTTAGAATTTTCAGGCAAAACTTTGACGGATAACTGACTAATAAACACTTGTTTGAGCTAGATTGTGCCAAGGGCTTTTTTTGTGAATGTTTTCCCTGATGTGTAGGACGCCTGGAGGACTAATCCTATACCCAAAAAGGAAGGACAAGCATGATAACGCCCATCTTGCATGAGATCTCGGTAGAGTGACACTGTGGCCGGCGCAGCAAGGATCTTGTCCACCCACGCTTGAATTCCAACCTCGCCAGCAACAACTTCAAGCAGCGCAACGCCGTATCTTTGGATGAAATGGGCGATCTCAAACTCTATAAGGGCAATTGCCACTGCGGTCTGAATCGGTTTGAGGTCGAACTGCAAGAGATCACATCTGTCACGACATGTCTGTGTCAGTTGTGCTCGAAGCAGGGCTACTTGTGGGCATTTCCGCAAGTAGGTGCGCTAAAGCGAACAAAAGGGGGAGTTGAGACGTTGACTACATACTCCTCAGACACTTTGAGCCATGAGGTAGACCACCCACCACTATAGTATTTTGCCCAGTAAGCGGCCGTTTGATCGCTGCTTACGTCCATTTCTAACAGTTCTGTACTACGTGTGGGACAAGCCTGTATGGAGCCCACTCCATGGGAGCCCTTGCAGGAAGATCTGTCGTGAATGTGAGTCGACAAGCTGACTCAACCATGGCTTCTACTACCAAAATAATCAGGTACGATCAATCCTTGGGCTTAACCCATTCAAGATTGAAACTATCGAAGAGTAAGCTGATAAACTCTCACTCGCACACTCAAATATGGTCCACTGTTGACGATGAGCAAGCTCGAGCACGCGGGGCATTGAGCAGCTCCTCCAACCACCGAAGTCGCTATGCGATAATCCGCCGTCAGCCGACCTCGCAGGTGAAGGGGTCAAGCTTTACAACGGCTCTTGTCAGTGTGGTGCTGTATGGCTAGCGGTCAGGACGAATCCCATCGATGAAATCCATGTCAACCAAGACAACTGCAGCATCTGCACTAGAGTGAGTCTGAATCCCCATTGCGTGTTCAAGGCTGACCAGATGTGTCCACAAGAACGCCTTCATTGGCATCTATCCGGACAAGTCACAAGTGACTATCACTGGAAGAGAGAACACAACGGAGTATCGATTCGGGCAAAGGTTCAACGGCTCGCCGTTCTGCAAGACATGCGGCGTTCACGTCTTCGGCAATTTATACGGCCCGCCGAAAGAGCTGGTCGAGACGTGGCCGGAGGCGCGGCAGCAGATCGTGAAAAAGAAACTAGCCATCCAGCCGGTGAACATCAGGACCCTGTACGATGTCGAATGGGAGACGATCAAGGTTACACGCGTTGATGAGGGGACGGAAGGGTACGAGCTTGCAGAAGAATAGGAGACGTCAACGTTGGAGGCGGAGGTGATTGCGACATGCCCGCCAACGCCAACACCAAGCCACCATGCGAGAGAATTCACACCGCACGCGAGCCCAGTCGTGTTTTGGCTGTACGAGTCATTAGGGTCGTCTAATCCTGACAATGCTCACTCTCGTTGCGAATTTCGGCAGCCGCTTCGCGAAATTGCCTGCTTTCGCACAGTGCTCAGGGTTCGCAACCGAGTCCGAGTGGAATGCCTCGTCTAGCTTCTCAGCTAAGCACAACTTTTTGCCGGTCGCACTCAAATAGGTACAGTTTCACCGAGAAGATAAGCTTATTTCGGTCTCTGGTACTTTTGTACACCACGGAAAACCAGTCGCTACCTGAGTAGCTTAGGAGTACCTTAAGCGGTCTCTTCAGACGTCAGCGGAGAGTCTATTCCCTGACGCTGATTGATTCAAAGGAGCCAGCCAGATCCATCAGTGTTTATGTGCCCTGTGCGTCCAAGCAGACACGTCATCTTCCCTGGTAAGAAAAGTTGCGAGCTGCACATGTACCAGTCGAGCATTGACTCGCGGCGGGGGGCTTAGAGCCAGCCACCTCCGTCCGCATTTCATGATCGCTCAGCGATCGTGGCAGCCTAATTCACTGCAAGGTATTCATACTAGTAATGCAATGTGTTGTTGTGGTTGTGTTGTGTCTGTTTGTCCGTCCGACCGTGAAAAGCGGGACCGGACGGGCTTAGCTGACGAAAGCCGTTTCTCGCCTGTTACAAGCGACGTTTTGTGAAGTCGGACACGGTGTGGCGCGGCTCTTGAGAATGCTGCAATCCGATTGAACAGGCCGGATCTGATGGAGCCTTACGCTAAGGCTGGACGGTCTGAGATTCCTGGGTACGGGCGTGGATCAATCCATCCACTTGCTCCTCAGCTTACGCTCAGCCCTTCGAGGCGCGCCTGCAGGATTATACGTAGCCACGCGGCCGGGCGTCCCGCAGCGTTATCCCGTATGTTCGGACTCTTTCATTTGGGCAATAGGAATGGCGCTCCAGTGGACTCGGAGCCCAAATGCGTCCGCTTCGATTGGCCGTCCCATGTTAGGACAGACGAGAGATGTGATTCCAAAGGAATATAAGTGTCACTGTTACCGACGCTTCCGGATGACGGGTCTTATCCAGGCCATAACTCCCAAAACATCCATCAATTGTTGAGCTCTCGCCCAGATTCACGAAAGATTTCACCGCTCGGGCCAACGCTGCAAGTATGTCTCGCAACGGCAACCACACGGTAGAGTTCCTGGAGGAACTCCAGAAAGGCTGCAAAGCCCTACGGTCAGACGTTGAGCCTTCCTATGGATACGTCCCGACACTGGGTGCTGGAATTGCCTTTGACGTGCTCTTCGGCCTCGCTCTGATCGGGCATCTTGTGCAGATTGTGAGATTCAGGAGGTGGACCTCGATCTTGCTCGCTTGCGGTGCGATTCGTAAGTACCTCAGGTTTTTTTTTTAGGTTTTTTGCTTTCGTGACAGTAATACTGATACCATCTCTCCAGTCGAAGCTCTGGGATGGGCCGGAAGGACTTGGTCGGCCAAGTGTCCATACAGCCATGATGCTTTTCTAATTCAAATCGTCACACTCATTATCGGACCGGTATTCTTTTCCGCAGCTCTCTACGTGTTGCTCGGCATCCTCATACTTCAACTCGGTCGCAAGTCCAGCATCCTCTCGGCAAAGATGTATGCCATTGTCTTCTGTGCTTGTGATGTCGTTTCGCTTGTGATTCAAGCGATCGGTGGTGGGATGGCTTCGTCTGAATCGGACAAGGTTGGTGGTGATACGAAGCCAGGCACGAACGTGATGGTTGCCGGAATTGCTTTCCAGCTTGGCACTATGACCCTCTTTGCATTGTTCGTGTTCGATTTCGTTCGCCGAATTCGAGGAATGCATATTACCCGACATCTGAAGCAAGTCCTATTCGCCATGTCCGTCTCATTCCTGATGATCTACATTCGAAGTATCTACCGAACGATTGAGTTGGCGCAGGGTTGGGATGGTTATCTCATCACACATGAGGGCTTCTTCATCGGATTGGATGCTGCGATCATGGTGGTGGCTGTTGCAGTGTTTCTCCTTTTCGATCCCGCCGCCTTGATACCCAAGGGCAAGCAGCCAGATCAGCTCATCGATGCAGTTGACAACTCGGACTCTTCAGACAACGAACGAAAGCCAGCCCCGGCTTAAAAGAGACCGGCGCGTTATTAAGAACCAGGGTAGCGAAGCACAGCGATGCTTCGGCTGACATACGACTGGCGTAGACTGTCATTATTCATTGGCACTGAACACGGAATTAGAGGGAGTTAGGGGATTTTGGAATATGATGGTTCGATCGGTCGATCTATAGAAGGTGAGGACTTCGGTGGGACTGGAGTTATGATATTTGCTTTGTCGTCGATTGGAAAGCCGTTTCATCAGATAAGAGCCTCTCTAATTTAACATCTGGAATACCTATCAAATACCCTTTCTAAACCTTCATGATTTTTTTCTTGCTAGACTTCTGACAGAGTATAACAAAAATCTTGGGCTAAATTCAAACTGGAAAAAAGCAGTTGTTACAATACAGTCGTAAAGAAGAAGCGCAAGATTGCCATTACACGGGACAATATAATTCATGCATCATTAGTCGTAGATCAAGGCATAAGAGGTTTTCAACACAACGAAGATCAAATCCTCCGTACATATCCTATTTGGGTAGTTATAATCATCAACAATCAAGAGATCAGAAAAACATTGACTATACCGCGCATATGTTAGCGGTCCTGGTCGACAGATGTGGGTGGAGGGGAGGGGTGTCACGCTAACTGTCATGTGACTGTACATGGAAGCTTGGGTCGCGTACCACGATACCTGAACGCGCCGCAACTTTTTCCAGAGCTCAGCAGACCGAGCTTTTTCACACCTCAACAAGACATCCCGACCACTATTTCTGCATCAGGAGCTCAAGGAAGGCTCTTCATCCTTTTGGGCATATTCAACCCGCTTTGAGATGATACACTGAGCGGATTGCTGCGAGGCTCAGATAGCCTTTGAAAACGGACCACATTGCCTCACCCATAACTCTCGACCCCAGCTGCATCCCTCACGATGGCCACGCAGCCGATACCACGAATACGGCGCACGACGCAAAACACACAATACACGTCTGTTCTCTAGCTCTACTCTAGCATTCCGCAATCTGACCTTTCATAGCTACCATCTAAATCGTCGAGTACACGATGTCAAGACATACCCTGTCCGGTCTCCACAGGGCGCAACGATCCTCATATACGGTCATGAAGGTGGCATTACGTTGGTGTGGCGCGGCGGCCGTCGGCTTAAGGCCTTGAAGCCACAGCATCAGCAATCGGCGAAGGGTCAGAATGGCGCTGACGACGCAGTCATGATAATCGATTCCGATGACGAGACACCAGCAGCGCAAGCCGGTCCGTTCGTTGACAAGCCCGAATTCGAAGACGAAGCAGAAGAGCAAGGCGGATTTGTCGAGATCACGCAGACTTTGGAGCTGGCTCTCGGTACTGACGTCTTCCATGTGGCCGTCCTACCCATGGCTTCTTGCGCCGCCGATGATGCAGCATGGGGAGGCGCCAACGTTCTGAAAGAGAAGATAGTCTTTGCTATCTCATGTGCTACGAACGAGGTGTATCTTGTTACATTGCCTCTGACTCCTCCATCTCATGAGAGCAAAGCAAGACCCGAGCTTCAGAAAGATCTTCTAGCCGGCACTGCGGGCAGGGGCAATTGGGGCGAGAGGTTGATTTCTCTAGGCGGCCAAAGCAAGTTTAGCGATGGAATAGCGATGAATTTGGTCAAGCAGAGATCACAAAGCTCAGATCGAAGCAAGTCAACCGAACGTATATCGACCACGACCCCTTCTACCAGAGTGGTTGTCGCAGCACACTCCAGAGAAGCGTCCGGAACCCTACGTCTTTGGGATGTTTCATTGGATCCGAGGCGAAAGTACACACATGCTTTGGAACCCTTTCAGACCGAGTATCTCCCAAGTCCACTCACTGGTGTCGCCTTTAATCCGACTCATCTAAGCCAGCTTCTGACTATCGCTTCCCCGTATGCTGTTCGCATCTACGACTACTCCATACCATCCATCCCTTCAGATGATACTTCTGATGGGCCGTTTCCCTCGCAAGGATCGTGGCTTCTATCACTTTATCCACCTTTTGCGCGAGGGTCGGCTCCATCAACTTCTCGAAGACCCATTGTTGGCGCACAATGGATCTCTCACGGCCGCGCAATCCTGACCCTTTTGGCAGATGGTCAATGGGGAATCTGGGATATTGATGGCACCGGTCCGTCTTCAGGAACTAGCGGCGGCGGCGGCGGATTATTCAGTCGCCAAGGATCTGGTATTCGCGGCGCTGCTCTAACGGCGTTCAGTGCCTCAGGTTATCTCGAAGGCATTGGGCCGCTACGGAATACCGGGACCCAAAGATCATCTACTGCAAGTGGCGAGCTTACTCACATGGCGCATGGCCGCCGCGAATCACTTACATCCGCTTTCTCGGGAAGCCCAGAGCGATTGGCCACTATCCGTGGAGGCGTGGAAGTGGTTCAATTGCCCGTTCTACGAGGAGGCGCTGGTGCTGGCGACGAGAGCGCTGTACTATGGCTCAGTGGTGCCGACTCTCTCGTATCGGTTATTCCAGTCATTTCTCGATTCTGGGACGCGCAGGTCCGCCGAAGCGCGGGCGGAGGAGCAAATCTTTTCAGCGGCACGCAACCAACTCGGATGGTTAGACTGACTGAACTAAATGCGGGTTTACTTGGCGAACGATGTTGTGGTGTCGGAGCTGTGACAAAATCCCAACAATCACAGCTTGCGACCAACGGTGATGCCACTATTGGCTCCAATGGAAGTGGTGGCCTGCCCATTGAAATTGTCATTCGTGGCGAGAGCAGACTTGTCTTCGTTCATGAGACAGAAGACGGCGAGGCCACACCATTGCAACTTCCGGGGAAGCTTAAGAGGCTCGTACCTGCAAACGCACCCATCGAGCCTGTTACAGCCATCATTGTTCACCCAAAGCCCAACCAACCCGCCGTAAACTTCGACCTAAGCGTCAGCAGGACTGGTACTGTACGTGGCATGAATGGCACAAAAGGATCTCGAGGTCCGTCTGTCAGTTTGTTTGGGAAATCAGCCGCATACCCGTCAAATATAGACGTCGAACCATTCGACCCTGAAGCAACCGCAACGTTATCTCTGCCGAGTCGGCCACGGACGATGGGACTGGACTTCGCCGGCGATTTGGATGCTGCCGCCGATGCTTCATACGATGTCGATGCCGAAGACCGTGATATTGAGCAAGAGGTGATGGATATCATGGAGCTCGATCAGGCGTTAGAGGAATTGGAGGAAGAACGGAACACCGGCACCAAGCGCGTTTTCTTCGAGGAAGGGTAGAACACTCCTCTGAGGAATAACCCGCCTTCAAAGAAACGTGTCAGATTTCAGATCTCGACCTAAGCTACCACAAGCTTCCGCACATTGATGCCCACGAAGCATTTCTTGGTTGACCTGGCTGAATTCGTTTGATAGATGGGGCGCTGACTCATCAGCTAGACTGCTCTGTTAGCGAGCCAGGCACTCTCCAGCACTTTGCAGAAATCCCATGCGGCAAACCACTCGCTACTGCAATGCAAGTGGGTGGCTCAGGAGACGAAAACACGTGGAAAGCATGTACGATACCCAAACAGAAATGCCGCTGTTTATGGCAGTGCAATGAAAGAACTAATCCTAGCCGATTACCCCTTACCTCCCCTGCTAAAGACCTTGTGACTGTACCTGTTCACCAAGTACCTTTTTTCGCCTAAATCCATGTCAAGCCCCTTTTGTTTTTCTTACTAGCCCTTCTTAGTTCATACTCAACAGATAGCAATCCGCACGGCATGGTGGAGCACAAGGCGAGAATCATCCTTGATCCAGCTCTGTATTCCGAGCGGTACATCAAACAAGCGAGTCTGCATACCGTTCGCAGGTACTGCGCAGCTGTGCAGACTCTGTCGATGTCCTCTGGAGGGTGGGTGGGGGTTACTGGGTTGGCAGGCCATTGCCAGCATATTGACCATTTGCTCTCCCGGCTGCGGAGTCCTGCAATCTGCCTCGTTGATCCCTCGGGGTCGAAGGGGCGGAGGACGAGAGAGGCTGGGAGGTGAGGGCATCGAGACATTCTGTTATGTCTTCCATGAGGACGTAAACTGGGACACGGTTATTGTGCTGCTGTCTTCGACTAACTATCAGACGTAGATACTCAGAATATCACATTGATCCTGTCCACTCAGCCACTTCCAATAGACCTTGTGCTTTTGATTCCGAAAAGCTGGAGATCACCAACGCAATGAGCAATGATTTTAACATATTGGAGAAATGTCTCCTTTCGTTCTATAGTCTATGGCCCAGAGGAGCTGGTCGTGAAAACAATCGTTTTTCATTCCGTTGCCCACCTCGTCGCTCGGAGTGAATCATAACCTGCCGCCACCTGCTTAACGAGAAATCCTGCCCATACAAGCTGACAAGGTCAGACTAATTTACAGTTTATGTGATAGCTAATGTATATACGACAGCCGCATCCCGACAGAGATCATCGGCTTTCAGTGTCCAAAGCATTCCGCCCATCATGTTCAGGAGAGATCTAGTACGAGCTTCCCGCGCTCGACCTCTTACCAATATCTGAGCCGTCATGGCCGCGACTGACGACCCTCCTCGAGTCGTCGTCGCGGGTGACGCTGTAGTCAGTAGTGCGGAGGATGCCGGGGCCGTGCTGCGTCAGGACCTCCTCGTCTGAATCAGCCAGATCAGAGCGGATGTCCATACGGGCCCAGGCCCGGTCGCCGCGGTCAGTCTTGAGCGCAATGCTGCTGTCGCCGCCGACGACGCGGCTAGTGTGGATGCCAGTGCCCAGCTTGGACGCGTTTCCCGGCACCGTGCGCCTGTGCGTGCCGTTCGGCGTCCACTCGATGTCGTTGTTCATCTGGTAGCCGCCGTTAGAGGGACCCATGCTCGTGAAGAAGCGAGGCATCCAGCTTCGGACAAGCGGCCAGAGCGCAGGGCCGGAGGCAGTGATGATGGCCAGGTTGACCTCGATAGACGAGACGCAGAAGCCGAGCGAGTAGTTCAGGTCGGGATTTGATGTGTCGGACATGTGCTGGTACAGGAAGTACAGACGGACGATACTGACGACAGTAACACTGCAAGGAATCGATTAGTAACCAGCCTCTGCACTTTTGTGGCAAATTACTCACATCAGACCCAGGAGGAAGACAGATAGCAACGCAATCTTGGTCTTCTTGTTGATCTTGAGATCCAAGAAGACATAGAAAGGCAGTGCAACGGCAATGATATCAGTCAAAATGGTCAGGCAAGCCGTCGAGATGCCGAAGGCCGCCTGGTCAATGCAATGGCCCTTGGCTGTAAGGTCCCAGTTCATCGAGATCGGATTACACTGGAAGATGACCACTAGGAAGACGGCCACCATCAAGGAGCCGTTGAAGATGGCGGTACCCCATACGACTTGTCGGACGCCCGGCTTCGTGCTGGCAAGACGCAGCAAGAAAATCAGAACCGACTGCTTGACGATAGCCAAAATCGGGTTGTACACGGCGCCTACGACGTACGTCCAGATCAGACCCGGCGTCAGGTCGTAAGTCGCAGGAACCTCCCAATAGTGAATACCAATGTACAGGTATTTCATGCCTGTGCAGATTCGTTAGCTGATTGTGTGGTGTCATTGACTGACACAGGGCAACGTACAGAGGATGGATCCAACGCCCATGACGATGGACAGGACCATCGCAACAATGATGCATGTGTCATCTGAGGTTGAGCTTATTAGCCTTGTGCTCTACATGTTTTGGAGGCGAGAGATTCATGCGTTCACGTCGTAAGACGACTTGAACCATGGTTCTCAATATGGATCTTAACATACCCCAGCCATAACTCTTGATCTTCAACCTGGTGTACACTCTGAGGATTGTGACAATGAGAGCGAGCGTAGGGAAGAAGATCTCAATGGCGATGCCAAAGTTCTGCAACCAGTCGGAGGGCTCTGCAGCCATGATTGCGTTGCGGTCAGTGTTCCGAGGGAGGAGCGATGATCTTTCCTGAAGGACGATTCCCTGGGTAGCAGCGGAGACAGTGGAATCTGGGGAGAGGACGGGCCACGTCCATATATGGTGAAAGATCTGGATGATCACAGATCACGCACAGGAGCACAGGTCAGGAGTCAAAAGGACCTGAGCAGGGACCAGCCTAGGGGAGAAGGATGCAACGCCGACCGGGGAAGACGGATTGACCCTAGCTTTTAGGGATACAACGTCCCGATGATGCTAAAAAACTTGTGTATGGAGCAAAGCGGGCATCAAGAGATTTTATGAAATGGCAATCGTTTGACAGGACACCGTCCGACCGTCAAAGCGGGAGGCCTAACCCACGGACATTTGGTCGAGTTTGTGTTGGAAGATTGGCAGGCGAAACCGCATCATCGACCGTGTCAAAGGCGAGCGAAAAGCCAGGCACAACTAAATGGGTCCCGTCTTGCAAAGCCCTGGTCAGGCATGCATCGGTAGGGTTCCGTCTTCGGCAAAGTACCGCTTTCCAAGCTGCTTCGCTCTTTGCTAGTGCAGGTAGTCTGCTGTGTCCCTGAACCAGAGACGGACTAGAAGGTCGGGCCGTTCGATTTACAAACAACCCAGCCCCCGGACGATCCCTAGTGTCTGCTAAAGTGAAACTATTCAAGGTCAGGAAAGTCCCTTCTGGACTGGACGATTGCAAGGTAGTCCTGAATGAAGGGTACACGAGCAGAGGATGGAAGGAAAGCCAAGGATGCGCTGAGCGTTCTGGCCTGTTGTTTGCATCATTCTCGTGCAGTTGACCTCGATGAGACTGCCGGCTGGATGTTTCTTGCTTTTTCAGAGGGCGAGACGGCTCTGGCGACATTGCTAGCAGGAAAATCGCCCTCGATGGCTAAAGTTAACACAGCACGGTCTCCCGCGATCTGCCAGCCTAACATCACTAATACTGCTAAGCCGGGCACTGATCAAGCCCAGTCAAGCTTGTCTATGCAGCCAAACCAACTTCCCTAGGTCCTTCCAAGGCACGCTCGTACGGCAGGCATCCGTTCGCCCCCGGACAGCCTGTCAAGAATCTTCGCGACGCCGGGCCACATACGGCAAAGCATCGCTGAAGACCGTGTCAGGCCTAAAGTGAGACAAAATTACGGGTATCAGGGTCGGCGATGGAGGGTAAATGTCAGCTAGAGTCGGCCGGGCGACTAAAGAAGGGAAAGATATTCATGTGGCGTCGCCAGCTGGCAGGGAAAACAGCGCTGAATCTACAAGTACGAGCTTGGATGATCTGAGGTTGTTTTGCCTTGTTCT